GGACCATGTATGCATGACGAATTTACGGTAAGCTTTGTGCTATGGTTACTTATCCGTGTGTGCAAACTTATATTCAGGGTCTAGTTCTTCATCATTTTGTGTACAACTGCGAACCACAAATAGAATGTAACAAATTGAAAAATGGATATCCTATGCGTGTGTTACGAATTCGAATTTTGTTGCATGTTGACCGTGATTGTCGGAAAAACATTTGATTTACGAAAATTCATGTAAATAGGTCGGATAGACAAATGGCAATAACTTATAAGCTCATGCTTTTCTCTTCCCATAGGCTATTGTTGTGGTTAAAATGCATACAGTTCCTTGTGTAAAAATGTCACATGACACGGGCTTCTTCTATTGCTGCGTGCAGCAGTAGAATGTAAGGTGCGCTAATACTTCATCTAGTCTCAGTTTGAAAGATTCAACGCTTGGTGCACAAAAGACGGGGTGGGTGGGAAAGACTTCCGGACCGAACACAATCCGACTGCTATTGCCTGACGCTGGCACTTCAATCGGCGTTTTGAGACCAATAGTTTGAACGGATATCCTCTGAGATGAACTTTGAGTGACAATTGTAGCAGCGGACGATACGGATGGCTTGGGTTTGCATTATTTGGTGTATCATAGTCATGTATTCTATGATACGCCAGTAGTGATTGGGATATAACCCCAACGAATGCAGTCTCTACATGCAAATAGTGATTCAACCCCTTTAACCATTTTGGTGGCCATCCTTTGTGGACGTTCCAGCATTTCGTAATCACTTTGTAGCCATGGATTCCATGCCTGAAAAACGTACTCTGTGAGTGGGCGACTGTATGCTGATAGCAGAAAGGCGCTGACGGAAACCGGCCAAAGACATGTCTAAGCGAACAACATTCTTTACAGCTGTGTTCGACACCCTGGCGCAGTTGAACGAGCAGCTTAAGTCCTCTTGAATGATGATGCCCAGGTCCTTCTCACTGGAGGCATGTGACAGTTGTTCATTTCCGAGGAAATACGAAAATCGCTCCGTGTGTCGTAGAGATAGAACCTCGCACTTTGGTACATTGAATTCAGTATCGTTCATAAGGTACCACATATGAGCTGGTTTCGTTTGGCGCCATCTGCAAACAGTAATGATTTTTGGCCCCAGAGCCGTCTGTAGGTATCAAACCAAGCCATAGTGAAAATGCTTCTTCACTGATCCGTGGTTTCAGGAAAGTCGTGGGGAGGGGGGGATTGTTAAACTTGTAGGGCTTGGTGTGAACGCACTTCAGTTCATTGTTTATTCCTTTTATATTCTGCACCAGGGATTAGGGTGAATCCTGTGTGTACATCGTCTCTAGACAGAGTATACAGAGATGAGTGTTTTCACGTATCATATACGGGTTGAAAGAATACAGTGTTTGATTGTGCAAATAAAACAATTTTGCGCCGCTCGCATTTGATGAGTTGATTGATTGTCCCTTTTTCTACTCAATCAAAATATTTCGGGACCATGTTCAGTCACAGTCCAATCAGGTCATGCAGTTACTTCTATCCAGGAATAATTCGAAGCATGATAATATCGCAACACCTGATGGCTTGTGGCAGCTTGTGGTTTTGACTCTGTCCTTATGATCCCTGTATTGTGGAATCAACAAGGGTAATATCATCTTGTATTACACACACGGTTGATACAATAAGAGATGTAAATCTTCTGATGATTTGTGCGATGCAGGGTTGTATATTGGGCACATTCGTACGGTCACCAGGTCCATATTTTTTTCAGTTCTTGAAAATTGGTGAGTACATGCATTGCTAATTACGGAAAGAATATCGCCATTAATACAGTTTGATCGGGTTGTATGAAGCATTGGTGAACAGCAGTATCGATAGAGAACGAATGCTAAATGGTTTCGCTCCAAGCCCAAAACGGTGGCGTCGTAACGGTTTCTTAACCTAAGGCCGAAGACCATCTGAAAAGAAAGACCAATTGGGCTAGAGCTCCAGTTCCAGCAGCACATGACACAGCCTGAAGAGAACTGGGGACGGGCACAAAACCATCACGTAGGTTGTTTTGGCAGACACTGGGCAAACATTGGGGCGGATACGCCCAAAGACTTTCCTCAGGGTTATCAGTATGGTGGTTTATTCAGTCACTCATAATTAATTATCTTCCGTATGCGTCCCTAGTTTCTGCTGTTCACTTTTGCCTTCTTCGTCCTTCATGCAAACTCAAACCTGATATCGGCCTAGAATGAACAATTTCCAAGGGAAGGCTGAATTTTGATGGTGTAGTCAATAGATTGACGTGACGAACCCGATCGAAAACACGTTCATTGGAATGCCATTGATTCGACAATTTGGTCGTCGCGTCTCGTCACACACGCAGAGACGCGCACACCCTCTGTCTTGTTTATTTGAAAAAAAAAACTATGTTACGGCCGAACGGAGTCACAGTGTATAGTTCATTTATGTGGCCTAAATGGTGCAGTTGTCTGTCACACTTCGTCTTCTATTTCTTGCGATATCGCTTTATCAACCCATGTATTTTGAATGTGGCTTTTTCTGATCTATACAGCTTTGATAATTCTGTTTTGAATTGGCTTGTCTTGTGTTACCTAAATTTTCGGGACTCTTTCCACTGTTTACATTTCGCTTTAACTACGGTTCGGTTGCGTAATTTTTGATATTATTTAGTGATGAATGGTGATGTTCCTCCTCTCAACTAATTTGCATTTGTGCAAACATTCACACGGTTGTTATCGACTTTATCCGTATTGCTTCGGTATTACCAAATTACTCTTCCGTTCACTCGTTGTGTGTATATAACCCCATTATTGTTATTTTATGGCACGTCTTTCCATCTGGGACGTGTTTGTGTTGATCGCGTTGCACACACGATCGTGTGTGACAGAAAAATCCGGAATCGCATTACTTGCAACTAACCCCGCTCCAGGCCGATGTCCTTGTATCAAATAAAGTGTCCTATCTGGGCGGTAAGTGCTATCGATTGTTGCCCCTCCGTCGTCTATTCTGTTCGTCTTTTCCCCGGATCACGTTTTGTGCCAATGGACGTTTGTGTCCCTGTATCCCATTAGACGTGTTCCGTTTATCCATCACGCGATGTGTTTCCGAATGTGTGTGTGTGTATGAATATGT